CCCCCCCCCCCCCCACCCTCCACTACTCCCGAATCATATCCGTTAAATAAAATGCACACGTGACAAGCTTCATGAAAAATAGTTAATCTTAATTATGATAAATTCCACAGATATTTTTCAATTGGGTTCCGTGCATAAATAGATTTTCGACACTGATCGGATTGAAATTTAGTAGAACTTCCTGTTTCGTGGGCGGAAAAAATGAAAAATATTTTTCATTCCATTTCAGGACACAGAAATAAAAAGTCAGGAGAATAATCATGTGGCCGTTTTGGAAAAAACTTGAAAAACAAAATTGTTCGCGCCAAGGACGTTGGTCCCGCTTCTACTGATTTTTTATTTCACAGAGAATTTTTCTCCAGTCCTTATTCGATCTCAAAATATTTTTCTCGTAGACATCTGATTGTGCCCTATGGCCATTCATTTACCATTTCTAACTTGGTTTGTTTTTAATTTTTTTGTATTTCTCAAAAATTTTCACTGTTCAGTAAGAATAAATAAACTTTTCCTTGGCGCAGTTTTTTTTTACAAAAATAGAGAAACTCTAAATTACTTGTGATGATAAAGATGATGTAGATGATAATGAATCTCTCTTGCCTGCATTTTAATAAATGATCATTACTTTTTAAAAATATGAATGCCGTTTCATTGAAATAAATAATGATTGATCAAAAAAAAAGAGATAGATTTTAAGATTGACTATTACCGTTTAGTTCGTTCATCTTCTCATTGCCCAAGTCACTATTCACTTTCTTCGAAAATAATCGGAATCTAACAGTATTTCATCCATTTTTTTATTAGTTCTTATTATCGTTTCAATCCTAACTTTTCGATTCCAGCGCAGAGCTAAGCGGAATATAATAGGATTTAACATAAACCTCATTACATCTACTTCGCTCTGTTCTTCATAAGAAATAATCGGAATAATCCGAAGTGATTATCAGGGTTGGAGGTGAAGAAATTAAGGTATTTATGGCGGGATTGTCATGTAGGAGGTGAGACGGAGGGGAAACTATTGTTCTCTCGCACAAAACCAATCGCTGAACAAAAACGAAATTTCAATTACAAATTTTCAATCTATTTCGAGCATTTTTGTGTTCGATATATTTTTTTAATAACTTTTCCATTTTTTCCCATATATTTCAAGAATCCTTTTATTTTTCTAGCCTTTGTCTTTTGCATAATTGGAAAATAATTAATGTGGATAGAAAAAGTGACAACACCGTGCCGTTCGAGGTACAAGTTGGCAGCACTGATTCACTGAGCTGTTAAGTTCCTTCCCGTAGCAAAATGTATCTTCACAACTCCATTCGTATTTGCCGCGCTCACCTCTTCACGATTTCCTACCTCTGTTATCGCTATTCCAAGTTGCGCACGTAGAATTTCTATTTTTCATGACTTTCTTAATTATCTCTTCTAAACAATTCTACTAGGTCATTTGGATCATTTTTTTTATATTCTTCCCGAAAAGCTCCACCCAAGTGCAAAATTTCAGGAAAGTGGCGACTTTTTTTTTCTGTTTTTAATATTTTTTCTCCGAATTCCCATGAAACCCCGTGTTATGAAAAATTCCTATATTTCACTCATTCTCCTAGGCTATCTGGAATTTTGCATAGGGATTTGGAAAAAATCAAAGAATGTATTAAAAAAATCATCAATTTCTTGGCTTTTATCGACCTCTCCTGATCACGCCATAAATACCTTAAACGAAAACTTGACTTCATCACCTCCAATAAAATTGCTGAAGCCACCTAGGCCCACTCACTGTTCTAATCTAATTATGTGACTCATTTGCTATTTTTACTTTCTAAGGATTCAAACTTACCGCCACAATTTACGTCACGCCCTCCACCGCCTGCACACAAACAAAATCAGCTGTTAGACTGTTGGGAGTCCCAGAGGTCCCAACAAGCCAACAATACTGCACAACACATTGGTCTTCCCAAAAAGTTTGACAAAAATGTGATAAATCGGTTCCAAAATTATTTCTCAACTCTGGCAGGTTTCTGCGATGGCTCAGACTCTTATCCCGACACTGATCTTTACATTCTCAATTTTTACACGTGAGTATCATTCCTTTATCCTTTACAAATACGATTATGCGTTCACTCTATTTCCAATGGATAGGATATTTTTTTATTGGACTTTTCAGACACAATCCCGCATTTATGGACCAACAAAAATGATCTAAATATTCATTCACTGGCAAATGAATCTGGCCCATTCATCCCAACACTCCAGGGGATAGAGTCAACACCGAAGAATTTCAATAAATCAATCGATTCATCGAGAAAGTCGCAAAAGAGCGCGAATACTGTATCAAATGCAAAACTGGAGAGACTATCAGAGGCTTTATTCAGTAAAGATGTCCACAATGCCTGGGGATACATTAAAATTAATCTTCAGAATCAAACGACGAGGAACAGTCCGGTCGATAGAGCTCCTGAACCGTAGGTTCCCTATGATATTAGTCAACTAATTTATCAAATAATTCTCGTGACTATTTTTTAATATTGATCGAGCATATTAATTAATTAATTAATCCATATTGATTACTCAATTAATTGAATGATTGATGGAATTAATATAATCAATTTTCTAACCATTATGGATGATTCTCTAATTGGGGTCTTGCATTAAACTTAAAATAAGAAAGAAAACAATTTGTAAATGAACCAATAAATAACCAAAACAGTGAATGAATGATAGAAATAAAATTATGAAATATAAAAATTGCATGAAAAATATTGGATACATGTTTTCCTTTCGATAAAATGAATAACGAAAAATTAATGAGTTATAGACAATTGAAAATAATTAAATACGAATAATTAACCAATACTCATAAATTCAATTCCTTTCCTCACATTTTTATAGAATACATAAAAAAAATAGGAAAGAATTGAAATCGGCGATGAAAAATTTAATAGGATTATTATTATGTAATTAATAGTAATTAATTAATCAATGGATTGAAAGATTTGACACTCTCCCTGTCTCTCTCTCTCTTTCTTTGTTAGATTACTCACCGTAAATCCAGAAGCATTCAAAATACCCACGATCAATTGTATTCTTCAAATGTACGATAATTATCATCTGGACACTCGAAAAACGGAAGAAACGACACCAGTTCATAAAGAAGAGCAAGATCGCCTCCTCGATGCTTTTCTGGGTACTAATGTTATGGCCACCGCAATGAAGTTCCTCTCTGATAATAATTATCTTCCGAGGAATGAATCCAACTACAGAGCGACATTGATCACCCTCTGGTTTTCACCCTATCGAAGGGGTGAAGGAAAAACCAGCAGCAGTGGCTTTGAACACGTCTTCCTGAATGAATTAAGGAAGGGGAGGCATGTACTTGGACTTCATAATTGGATTTATTTCAATGCGGTGGAGAGTAAACGACAGGCTAATTATCTTGGGTACTTGAGGAAGATTGATCTCGGTGATGTAAGTAATAATTGATTTATGCAATAATAATTTTTTATTCATCTTCAAATTAACATTTTGTATAAGGTAGGATACTGACATTCTTCAACACTGACGAAACATTGTCTTGGCAAAATGATCTATCTTCAGTTGGCCATCAGAGGAAAAATTGGAGAAATAAATATAAAAATGTTTGTTGATTTCTCATAGTTGCATTGCAAATATTTATGAACGTGAATCTGAACAATAGCATTCTGAGGAACTATTAAACACAAGCCTCTTCACACGCACGAAAACATTTAATAGAAAAACCTAGCGAATTTGTTAGATAATTCTATTGAATTTCTATTGAGCTTTCATCAGTTTTTGCTGATTCTATTGAAATGTTCAATAGAAAATATTCAATAAAAAAAGCCAATAGAATTTGGTTTTTCTATATAACTTATTCTCTACAGATATCCAATTTTCTTATGTCATTAATTAATTAATCGTATTTAATTAATCAAAAATGGAATTTAATTAATAACAATTGAACACTATTAATTAATAAATTTTTTTACTAGCGAACGCGCGCTTTGTTAAATTCGATTAATTTAATTCTATTCATTCGTATTATTATATATTTTTTTGTTCCTTGATTTACAAGTTACAACATTGAATAAAGAGGAATTCTCCATAAATCGCGTGACAATACAGATTGTCAAACAATTTTCGATAATCATACCTAAAGATTTTCATTTCTTTCTTTTTTAAATTAATTAGTACCAATGATCTGAAAATGTGAACGAATATGAACATTTTACGTCCCTTCGATCTCATTTCAATGGAACCGAAGAAGAAAATTGCAAAGAGAGATCGATCATCATCAATCAGTATCAATAAAATGAAAAAATCTATTTTTCTGTTCTTTCGAAATTGACGTCAACATATTCCTTGTGATAATATCTATCAAATCAAATTACAATATTGCTATGTAACTAGAAATACTTTAGTAATAATCGGCATTTTCCTTTTTTATGAAAAAATTGTTCCGTATACGATAACTCCTGAAAAAATTTAGCTAGAATATTGAAATTTAGTGAGATTATAGCTCTTATGATATTACAGAATGGGATTGTGGGCAGGCGAAAACGGACAAGTGGTTTAGAAGATGTTCAACTTTTTGTGAATTTTTTTTTTCAAAATAATCGTCTTGTTTTCTTTCCAGAAAGCTGCAGTCTTGGCTTTTCACTTTACCTTCAACTCCCACGACAAACCAATAACATCGATGTTCGTTGGTACCTCTCCAGAACTGGAAATGGCTCTCTACACAGTATGTTTCTACGTAAGAAGAGGGAAGAAGTGCAAATTATCATTGGGAGGATCCAAATTCAGGATTATTACGCATGAATTGACGTACAAAGGGAAGAATTTACCAGTGATTGGTTCAGCATTTCCTTTAATGTGAAAAATGGACTAAATGAATCAATAAGAAAATTAATTTCGCTTGACTGATACAAACCTGAAGTTATTCCTCGATGCATTCATGGCATGAATGCAATGCTTCAAGATTGAGTTCTTTTTCATAGATTATTTTCTTATATGATATGTGAAAAAACGAGCAACGTTGACTGACAATTTGCAGTATTATTACAAAAATATATCCCATCAATCGACGGGGAATAAATACGTCGATTCAACTTTCAACAAGGTAGTCAAGCATTCGTTACTTGCTGTAAAATTGTGAACCATTGATATATTGTTTTTGTAAGAGAAATCGATGAATAAAATACAGAATCAATGTTTCTAGTTGGAAAATTCCCCAAAAGTCTTTTATCTCTCTATATTATAAAAATCCAAATCAACTTCTGGTGATAAAAGTTTGATACTCAAAATTAAGACTCCGAAATTGAGAGCCACAAGAGTCACGAGGGTCAAACTAAGGGTCATGAGGGTAAAAATTAGGGCCATAAGGGTCACGAGGGTCAGATTAAGGGTCCAAATAAGAGTCCCGGGGGTCAAAAACTAAGGGTCAAAATAAGGGTCTCAATATCTCACTATATTGTAAAAATCAAAATCGAGTTTTTGGTGATGAAAATTTCGTGCTCGAAATTAAGACTCCAAAATTAAGGGTTAGAAATGAAGGTTCAAAATAAGGGTCACGAAGGGTATGCTGAGGGTTATTATAAGGATAATGAGGGTCATATGGGGGTTGACGAGCGGAGCGAGCGGGGGGCGCAGTCCTAGTTTCTCATAAAAGTATGGATTAAATTTTATTTTTGACGCTGAAATAATTATATTTACAGATGCATCAGAGAGAAAAAACTGTTCCAACAATTTATATTTTCTTATGAAAGCTTCGAAAGAGTGAAGAGAAGTTTCATTTTTATTGACAAGAAAATCTTGAAAATATGATCCAAATGAAACCATCTATTGTTTAAAAAAATCAGTGATTCACTGCGTGATGAAGAGTTTAATCAACTATGGAAATACCCTGCCCTGTATCACGGGTTCAAATACATATCGCCCCCACCCAGGCTCAGTGGAGAAGGCGATGAGAGATACGAACATTCGGGACCACTCTCACACACTCAAACAATTACTTCATTCCATCGCGTAAATAGATAAGCGTTCAAACGATAAATACAGCAATCAGACGAGATGGACGATCACCCTCGCTAATATTTCCACCAGTCTTGATGTAACGCTCATGTTAAACGACCATGTATCGTAGTATCAGATCGGCCCTGAAAAAACGAAATGAATTATTTAAAAACTCATATGTTAGTGTCGCGTGGAGGAAAAGCGTCAAGTGTTATCACAGTGAGAGTGGGGTCTATGGATATCGCCCTAAGAAAACAACTTTCTTTGCTGGTATATTATTATTTTTTTACTGAAAATGCATGAGAGTTCAGAAATATTCATCAGAGAATTGGTACAATGATAGAAAAGGTGGAACGATTCAGTTGCACTAAACGATGCATCTTAACTATTACCGCGATTCGTTAATAGTTAACGAATCGTGGTATTTCATCGGAAAAATGATTTTTGAGAATATCTTGGAATCGAGCAGAAAATTTTTTAAACACTTTTTTAATGGTTATTACTTTGTTCTCCAAATGAATGGTTCTTATGAATTATGACTGAAAACACAATTTCATTTTAAAAAAACGTCCTGAGTACATTTTTGTGCCCTTTCTTTATTATCTCTCTTGCATTCAAAGTTATGAGTTTTTTTTGCTTCCGAATGGAAGCGTTGCAATCCTTCGACTTTCACATTCTCTAATTTTGATTGGAAATAATGTAGAATAGTCTGAAACGTAAAAATACGAAATTTGGCGACCATGTCTGTATGTGACCACGTCCACCGCCACTTTCCCGGTGGTCAATTTTTAGAAAATCGAGCAATTAAGTGGCTAACGTAATTCCAAAAAATCTGAAATTTTGACAGATTATAGGTCTTAATAAGGACTAGCTCTGTGCAAAATTTGAGCCCGACCGATCTAATAGTTTTTGAGAAAAAGCGATTAATTTTTAAATAGTTTTCCGCAAATATATTCAAAATTAGTGGACCGATTTCGATTTTTTCTTTAATATTCGGTTCGGCGGCTCCTATCTAGATCAATCAAAACATAATATATACTCGTTCATACAAAGTTTTTGAGATATTCCCATTTTTTCTGTAACGTGGTCAATGTTTACTGGGACAAAAATGGACGTTAATTCGCCCTTTTCCCTTGGTGAAGTCAGAAACTGAAGATAACTCGATGATTGGACGCCAGGGATAAACAATTATCCCTAACATCTACTAAATTAATTCCTACCAGATCCCTAATTAAACCAAATTAATAAATCCAAAAGGAATCCGAATAAGGCGCAAGGTATCGCAATATACGCGTCGAAAAGGTACTCGAATTCCTAACACAATAAACTGGGATTCGCTTTAAACGAGTTTCCGGCAACGTCACGTGATGAGCCCTTTCATTTCACATGGAAAAAAATAATTCATCGATTCAAAATAATTTGTTTTTTTAAAAGAATTTCGAGAAATATGTTGTTCTAAAAACTGCTATAATTCTTTAAACTTCAATTGACAAAGTCCATTTTTATCCATTTTATTGCTGGTTAGCCAGTCAATTGTAATTAAAGAAAAACGACACGCAACGGGGTTTCCCTCATATGGTGACCAATCTAGGGTTAAATAATTCTTCTAGGCTGCTATTACTGAATTTAAACCTTTTTGAAATATCACATATAATATTATGGATGCTTACATAGATGTACGGATGTCCCCAAATGGTCTCCGTGGTTCTTCTAAAAGTGTAATTATTGAAAACAAATTGAATTATTAAGGTATTCATAATTTATAATTATTAAGGTATTCAGAATTAAATTCAAAAGCGAATAGTAAAGCATAAATATGAAGCCCCACCAGCAATTAGCATTACCCAGGGATTGCCACGGGACTACAGCCCCAATATTATAAAAATTTATAATTTATTTCTGGCGTGGTTGCTTAATTTTATTATTACCAACACTTTCATTGAGATTTTTTACAGCTTTTACTTCGCTCTACGAGAAATGTGGTCATAATAATTTCTCCCATATTTTCGGAAGTGCTCACCGAAAATTCACCTGAGAAGTGCTTGGATCTATCTCTTCATTCCTGATCATACAATCTTTAATTTTTTTTCTCGCCCATTTATTCCAGTGTCACAAGAAAAACTGAATGTTCGTGCCAAATACAGTAATTTCCAAAGACTGGTGACTGCTTACAGAGAGCACGCTCACAAGCAAGCAAACATAGACCCCATATCAGTTTTAAGACCAGAGGCTGTGCTTGAATTAGATCCACAGAGATATGGGCTTGATCTGAACGATATCGTGAAATTCCGGGGGATAATTAACACGAGTAAATCGGAGGGAACTGTTAGAGAGGCTGTAGACATTCTCAATGAACTCTACATCCGTGAAATTGGAGCTGAATTCAGCCATTTGGAGGTGAGACTATTTTATCGGATACAGTTATTTGTTCAAACCAGGGTTGGGCATCTGTCGATAATGACAGTTTTTTACATGACATTGTAAAAAACCCGTAATTTACGTAATAAATGTAAAAAATGTAAAAAAACCAGCCGGTTTTACCTTTTATTGTAAACCGTGAAGCTTCGCGAAGATTATACCTCGCGAGGGTAATAAAAGTCACGAGGTTCACACCTCGTGAGGGTCATACCAGTGCAAGGGATGAATTTTACAAGGGTCAATCGCATTATTTATTGATCTCTATTGAATTCGTCGCATCACTATCTTTTCTCTTGGCATTAACTTGTTTCATTCAGCATTCTTAAATGACAAATCATCTAATTCTATTGTCTTTGGCAGCTTTTTTTAAGTCTTCAGAACAAAATAGTTCTTTTCAGGTCCAGCTGGGCTTTTCCGGGGCTCCAAATAATAAAGTGGAGAATCCAATAAAGCTCAATAAATAATGAGATTGACTTTCTCACAATCGAGATGACTTGCGACTTTAGCCTTTTGCAACATTTGACCCTCGTGAAATTTACTCTTTATGAGGTATGAGGCTCATGTTTTTGAGCTTCTCAAAATGCCGCGAATCGTACCACGTGACGTAGTAATACATTATGTCAGCACACTGATAGAAAAAATCTCTGACACGTAGAGTACAAGTTCTTGGCTCAAGAAACTACATCATTCGCGCCGTTTTAACTGAATGAATTCTTCATGACTTTGGATCAAAGAAATAGGGGAACTTGGCATAAAGTATTAAATATTGGACGGAAAGAGCAGGAAGTTTCGCGTGCATCATAATGCTTTCCATATTAGATCAGACTCGCTGGCAAGAATCTCTTGGCGGAAAGTAATCTTNGCCACATTAGATCAGACTCGCTGGCAAGAATCTCTTGGCGGAAAGTAATCTTGCTTACATTTAATATCAATCTGATGAAGTTTCTATTCTCTTGTGTGAAGAATTCGTACTTTTCGCTATAGATAATTCTGTTTTTCATGATTTTCGACAGAGGTGATAGGGTTTCCAATCAAGTAAATCGGTCCTGAGGGCACACATCTTCCTCTCAGAATATACTTCAATTAGGTAAAACTAAGAATCTCTTGTATCAAGAGATTCATGGTCAAAACCCCATTCTCTTGTCTCAAGAAACCACTTCTGTCGTGTCAGAGATTTTTTCTATCAGTGTAGACGATGAAAGTAATTTCTGCCGAATGTAGCTTTATAATCCGAGCCGAAGGCGAGGATTTTAATCACAAGAGTTAGGAAATAAGTTTTATCGCCATGTGACATACAATATTTTATGTCTCTGAGCCCGGAAGCCGCGATTCACCCGTAAGAATCGATGCTAGAATCGCCGTTTTACGGTCCTAGGGCCATAAAATAATACTCAGATCCGCGTTCTAACCGAACAAAGTGAAGTTGAAATTCGCGGTTTATCTGTCCTCGGGACATGATATACTATTTTTTATGATATTTATGTGTCCAACACTGCGTCTTCGTCAGTCGAAATAAAAGAAAACATTCTAGTAACCGAAAATTGCAAGCTTTTCGAAGTAATGTAAAAAATGTAAAAAACCCATCGAGGTAATTTTCATAAATTACGGCGGTAAACAACAGTGTAATTTACCAACGTAATTTACACGCCCAACCCTGGTTCAAACTGATGGCTATTGATTTCCCTATTCGATGATTGTAATTTCAGAGCCTGGAAGAGAGGGAATGGTTCGCTGAGAGCTTTGAGAAGACTAGTACAGAAGAACTGGATGATGGAACAAAGAGGGCTATCGCTACTGAAATGTTGAAGAGCCAGGCTTTCGATAACTTCTTGAAGATTAAGTTTGTTTCTTTTAAGAGATATGCGGGAGAAGGGGCGGAAGCTATGATGGCGTTCGTCCATGAATTCTTCAAGTTATCTGCAAATGGTACGAGAATTTGAATTCGTTTATTCGATTGTTTGATTTCATATTTTAGTGCCTTTCAATTCCTTCTCCACTTCCTATTAGCTCTCTAAATTGATCATTTTCCGGAATAAAATGAAACTTGGAGTTCATGCGCGCCCTTTTCCCAATTGATACACAGAAAAATGCTTCAATATATGTCCAATAAAACGGCGGAAATCCACACGCAAACTTTTAATACATTACTGATGAAATTTCATTAATCGAAATTGTTTTCTAATTTTAGACGGAATTGAGCAAATTGTGTTGGCGATGCCCCACCGCGGCCGTTTGAATTTCCTCACTGGAATGCTTCAGTTCCCTCCAGAGAAGCTATTCCGCAAATTAAGAGGGCTTCCAGAGTTCCCTGATGATGTAAAGGCCACTGGGGATGTTGCCAGCCACTTCGTGTCCTCTGTTGATCTCGACGTGAACAGAAAGAAGCTACATGTGACTATGTTGTATAATCCCTCTCATCTCGAGGCTGTGAATCCAGTGTCCATGGGGAAAACTCGGGGAATTATGCAGAGTGTTAACGATGGAGATTATGCAGAGGATGGCAAGAGTAGGTGGAGTGATAAAGTATTGAATCTACAGGTAAAATTAATCCATCATATTCTCTCCGCCATTATTTTCTTAAACAATAGTTGCTCGTTTCACTAGGGCATCCTGTACATTCGGGATACCCAGAAACATGAATTATTCATCACAAAAGTTTGACACTGACGATAATTTTCGTACTAGGCATAAAATTTTTATTTATTTTTTTATAATTTTTTATAGATTTTTTCGACACTTTAATCTTCTCTCTAATCTCGAAAAATTGAATTTCTCATAAGACTGTGTTATTTTGCCACTGCTGAATTAATTATTATCAGTAATACTAGACTGATAATTCAGCACGCACTCAACCAGAATATTTTTATTCATATCAACTTCCGTTTAGAATTTACTTCAGATTTTCATCTTCAAAATTTAAGTTATGTATATACTACTTCGTTCATTAAATAAAATGATGAAATACGAAAATTGAAGTGAAAGTATTAGATACGTTTTGTTCTGAAACATCATGAAAAATGAAGCAATTACAGTCACCTGCACGGAGAGAAATTCTCTAGAAAAATCCTAGTGCGAGCGCGGGAAAAAGGGCGCAAAGTGACGACCAGAGAAAAATTCTAGTGTCGGCACTGGAAATTTTATTGAGTAGCACGTGAATTTCCCCCGGTTTAATAGGAAATTGTCACAGAAATCCCCCGAAATGTCATGAGAAATGCCTAGAAATTTTACCTTAACAGCACTAGAATTTTTATTAGCCGGTGGATTGGGATTTCGTTCTGTAACAGCACTAGAATTTTTCTAAAGAATTCCTCTCCGTGTGGCGGAACGTCTCACAATACTTCCTCTATGTACCGGTTATTAGGAATGTACGAAAAAATACCCGAATTGGTAACACAAGGCCCCCGCACGTGAGGGGTTAAGGATATCCAAGTATCTTTTACACTTTGGTACAGACCACACGATAAATTCAAAATTTTCAATCATCAATTTTGTCAATTAAATTGCGTGAAAAAAAATTCTCTTGCGACGTCACTTTTCATTTTACCGTGGTCATTTCGGACATATACTATATAGAATGTTATCAACAATCAATTTGCCACATATTGGCTATTATGAAATCATCTCGGTAATAATTGATGTACAAAGAAAAATATCAGGCGACATTTTTTGCTAGAAATTCCTTAGAAACCATACGTTTTCGAGATAAAGACGATTACAAAAATGGAAAATCTGATGTATAACAAATGGATTAATTATACCAGAATGGAGAATTTTTTCAAGTTATATAAAGAGTGAATTAAACTTTTGATGATTTTATATTAAAAATAATTGTAGATCCACGGAGACGCAGCTTATGCTGGGCAAGGAGTAAACCAAGAGTCATTAGCCCTTAGTGCAGTCCCCCACTTCGAAATCGGTGGAACTGTCCATTTGGTCGTCAATAATCAATTGGGCTTCACTACGCCTGCAAGAAGAGGAAGGTCTTCGAGATATTGTACAGACATTGCGAAATCGATCTCTGCGCCAGTATTACATGTCAATGGTGACTATCCGGAGGTAAATTCATTAGAAACCCTAAATTGATAAATTAACAAATCCACCAATGTTAGGAAATTCGATGAATAGCACCCCAAGTGAACTTTTCAGACTATTTTACCAAGAATCCTGAATCAATAATTCATCAATAATTGAAATTCAGTTTCATAGGGATTACATCCGTAATGATTTACTTTTTAAGCATTCCCACGTACTCATAAACGTCAAATTTCGATTTTCATGAAATTTTCAATGAACTATACCGATATTTTCAATAGAACCCATTCTCTTCATGTAAATTAAGAGGTGACTATCATGAGTTTTCGAAGTTGTGGGCTATTGGCGTGAGATTTCGCATACATTGCTGATCGATGACATGTGTCTAAAAACAAATAATTAGTGCAAAAAATTGATTGTTTATTATTTGTTTGCCCCGCAGACACTTAAAACGTTAAAAATAGCCCAGGACCTCCAATTTTTAAGCTACAGAGGTTTTTTTTTTCAAAATTTATGAAAAAATGTGTACAATAGCAATTACGAATGAGTTTTTTTAAATTCGCCTCCTACACAGCTGATTTCGTTTTGTTTAATATAAAAATTTTTGCGGAATTTTGAGAAATTGAAGAAAAAGTTTGAAAAAATTTGTTACATACATACACACATACACACATACATACGGACGACGTCTAAAAATTGCATTTTAGGACTTTCCGGATCATAATAAGTCGATATAACACAAAAAATCGAAAACTTTTTTTTGAACGATTACAACGCTTCCATTCGGAAGCAAAAACCAATTCGTAATTGTTATTGCACACATTTTTCCAAAAATTTTGACAAAAAAACCTCTGTAGCTCGAAAATTGTAGGCCCTGGACTATTTTTAACATTTTAAGTGTCTTTGAACAATTGCGTTTGTGAAAAATAAATTATTCAATTCTCAGATGGTTGTAAGAGCAACGAGGATAGCCTTCGCCTACCAGAGAAAATTCCGAAAAGACGTATTCATCGACATGAACTGCTTCAGACGGTGGGGACACAACGAACTCGACGACCCCACCTTCACAAACCCAATTCTCTACAAATTAATTCAGAATCGAGCATCAGTTCCGGATTTGTACAAAGCAAAATTAGAAGACTCTGGAGTTCTCACTAAGAGTACAACCGAGGAAATTGTCTCGAATCACACAAATTTCCTAGGGAATGCTTTGAAGCAAGTGGATAATTACATTCCTCAGCCCTCGTATTTCACCCATAGATGGGCAGGGTTTCAGCAGGCGCAGTCGAGTCTCACTTCCTGGGACACTGGAGTGGATCTTGGACTGCTAAAATATGTAGCCAGCAGGAGTGTAAAGGTCCAGGATGACCTGGACATCCACCCTCAGGTGATGAAGAGCCATGTTCAGGGAAGATTGAAGAAGTTGGAAAGTGGGGAACATCTGGACTGGTCGACTGCTGAAACCGCAGCCTTTGGGAGCCTTTTGTATCAGGGATACAACGTCAGGATCAGTGGACAGGATGTGGGGAGGGGGACTTTCTCGCAGAGGCATGCCATGATTGTCAATCAATCCACAGGAGGTACAATAATAATTTTCTACCAACATTTCATAATTCGGAATTAATTTTGAGTTTACGATTTGCAAATAATAAGAAAAGCTTAGGTTGAGTAATTTAAGCTTGAGAACCGGCAAGGCTAAGCAGTCCCACGATGCTACCTGAGTCCAAGTCGGTGGGGGTGCTTAGCCAGCTTTTTTGGGCCTGATCCTCTCTAGACAGACCAGCAGGGCTAGTAGTTCGGCAGCCAAGGACAAGGCAATACAAGAAATAAGACTAGCTCCGCGATGGTGACATGTCTAAACTCCACGGCGTCATTTCAGCACAACACGTCAATTCAACATTTTCATTTTCTACCAAAACTATTTCATCATTCGGTTTTTTCATCGTATTCAATTTCAACATAAATTTATTTGAACATATCATTTCATTTTTCACAAAAAACACCAGCTTTTTTGGGTCTGATCCTCTCTGGACAGACCAACAGGGCTAGTAGTTCGGCAGCCAAGGACAAGGCAATACAAGAAATAAGACTATCTCCGCGATGGTGACACGTCTAAACTCCACGGCGTCATTTCAGTACAACACGTCAATTCAACATTTTCATTTTCTACCAAAACTATTTCATCATTCGATTTTTTCATCATATTCAATTTCAACATAAATTTATTTGAACATATCATTTTATTTTTCACAAAAAACACATCTATTGATTTTTCTACCTAAGTAGAATGTCCCTGTACCTGACTCTGACCCAATAACCGATCTTTTTAATTAAAAAATCATCATTTGTTTGTGCAGAATTCTCTAATTAAATTCTCAAATATCATTTCCTTTTTTAATAGAAATGTTCATTCCATTAAACTCAATGGTTGAGGGACAAACCGGAAAAATTGAACTGGCAAATAGTATTTTATCCGAGGAAGCAGTACTTGGTTACGAGTACGGAATAAGCATCGCCTCCCCCATGACCCTGACAATTTGGGAAGCTCAATTCGGAGATTTCTTCAATGGTGCTCAAATCATAATAGACACATTTGTAACGAGTGGAGAAACCAAGTGGATGACAAGCAGTGGTCTGACGATGCTTCTACCCCACGGATGGGACGGAGCGGGACCTGATCACACCTCCGGTCGTGTGGAACGATTTCTCCAACTCACTGACAGCAAAGAGAACGCTCCTGACGGAGATGATGTTAATTTCCAAGTCGTTAACCCAACAACTCCAGCACAATATTTCCATCTACTGAGACGGCAGATGGTAAGGAACTTCAGGAAGCCTTTGGTCGTTGTGGCGCCTAAAATACTTCTTCGACATGCTTCAGCTACTTCGTCACTCGGCGAAATGGGACCGAACACGAGCTTCGAAAATGTCATTGGTAAATATAGAAAATGTTTTTTTTGTAAATTTCTAAAGAAATTTTTTGCAGAGTCGAATGCTCGAATTTGCAAAAAAATCTTAGAACAACCTAGTGAATTCACTAGGAAATTGTATTGAATTTTTATTGAACTTCTATTAAAAATTCTATTAGATTTTCCCGGACTTCACTGAAAAATTCCGCGGTTGAAATTTTCGATGTGATGAAAGTCGATTTTATTATTAGGCAGTCTTGCATTAACAAAAATTTCCAGAAGACACCAAATTTTGCAACCCAATGTTAATTATACAAATTGGGCGCCAATCTATTATTTTTTATAATTCTTGGGGAATAGACAAACCCCGAGCCTTTACAATCTTTAATTTTTCCTTGTTGCGCTTACCCGCGACTCTGAATTTCAAGGGGGAGAGGGGACCAAACCCTCTGCTTCGGATTCTTAGGATTCCACCCACAAAATAAGGTCTACTCAACTGAAATTATGAAATAATATAAAATATATTCTCAGAAAGATTGAAAGAAAATATTATGTTTGAATTTTACAAAATTGATGTCAACAGAAATAATGAAATTGAATGGACCAACGGGTCCAACATAACTGTAAATTGATGTTTCCTTAACTAGTGCGAAAAATTCAATTTTCTACATGATCTTACAATCGGGATGCAAATTCTCGTCACTCACTTTCCAAAGAAAAGAATTAAAGTCGAACCTAATGTTATGTCGTTGTAGAAATTGATAATAAATATCGACAACTCCGGTAGACTCAATGAATAATATAAATTTTACGAATCTAGAGCGTGGGAATGGTTTCCCGCGATGGCACGAGGCCCACAGAACGACGAGAAAAATTATTGACTGCTCTAAACAACAATACTCAGCTTTTATCTGTAGTTCAGGATTCACCGCTGTCTTTATCGCTCCAAATCTCCATAAATCCCTTACAAATTTCAACGTGCAAACTCTGAACTCTCAAAACTCTAAACTATCAAATGTCTAATATAACAATAGAAAACCAGGAATTACTCGCAAGCAACAACGCCAGTCTGGCTGACTTAATCCTCAAAAATCTTTAAGTGAATTCTATCCTCTAACTAGTCTCGGCAAGAACTGAGGAGTCCTGCCGTTATCGTGCGGGTCCTCGGCTCTCAAAAATTTGAAAGGGGGAAAATTTCCCTAATTTATCACAATCATATCCGTAAATTCAATAGCGAAGCGGTAAAACGGGTTATGTCGATTTTAATGGCCAGTTTTTGGTCCAAACGAATTAGTTCAGTTAGGAACTGATGGATTTATTATTTAAAAACATCTAAAAGATCTTTTTGATGATCTAATTCAAAATTAATGAACGAAGAAATTCTTAAAGACTAAAAAAATCTGTTCAAATTCTTCCAGCTGACAATTTCCCAGACCCTTCAAAAGTCCAAAAGGTAATATTAGTATCCGGAAAGCACTTCTACGCCCTGGAAAAACAACGAGAGCTTCAAAACGCGAATAACGTAGCCATAATTAGAGTAGAGAGCCTCTGCCCATTTCCCCTCTTAGATCTGAACCACGAGCTTCAAAAATATCCTCACGCTAAGACTTTTATTTGGAGTCAAGAGGAGCCGCAGAACATGGGTGCCTGGAGCTTCGTAAAACCGCGATTCGAGAATTTATGCGGTCGTCGAGTGAGTTGAAACAATGAAAATAATCAAAACAAATTTTAGAGTTGAAAATAATTCCAGGAATGGTCGTACTGATTTCGTTTTTTTATTTCAGCTTAAGTATTGCGGTCGTGAGTCATCACCAACACCAGCAGTTGGTGTAGCGCAACAGCATCAACGAGAGGCGTTAGAAGTTGTCGTAAAACCCTTTACCATGAAGTAAAAGAAATAATTGTGTAAATATGATAATAAAGAATTATTTTTTAACAGTTGACTCTTTCTGACTGTCAAATCTTCGATGCTCGTTCGTTATAAGGGTTTTCAGTTCATCCTGAAACATAAAATGAGAAATGAGAAATTTCATGAATTTTTGTTGATTCTATAAATAAATTTAATAAAGAAATTGCGAAATAAGATCAGTCGAGTTTGATTCGATATGAATTTTTGATGGAATTACTCTGAATTTTTTGGACCGATTTATTTTTGATGAATATCATAGCGTTTGTGCTGAGGGAGACAGTCTTATTTTTGCAGAGATCTTTTTTGTAACTTTGGAAATTCTCTTCCAAAGAGGTGTTAATAAATATTTGCAAAGCAAAATATTTCCGAAAAAATGATCTTGAAGTAAAATAATTTCAGCGTGTGTTGATTCTATCTCATCATGGATTTCATAGAAATATCTTCGAATCTGAACTAGATGAATGGACATTTATAAAACCTGGTTTGTAAGAAAAAATTAAAACTGTAAAATTCTCGAAGTCATATTGATTCCTCTCCTGTTAAAGACATTTCTTAAAAATCCCGAGCACTCAAACAATTTTTTTTTCAAACTGATAGACAGTCATCTTCATATTGATAAAAATTTTAATCCATCAAGTCGGGTTGATTAGTCAGAAATAAGATGAACAATGTGTACCGAATGCAAGTCTTAAAGTTTTGAGTGTCTACTCTGAATTTATTGAGAAGGACGTCTCTTTACTTGTATCAAGAAATTCATGGTTTGGAAGTTACCAAGCGCACAATATCTCACAATAAGAAAAAACAAATTTATACTGGTCCGAAAGATGCGAGTAATTGGTGAACATCAAGAGAACGAGTTCTCAAATCAATTCGAGTGGTTTTTGCATTAAAATATTTTAGAATTGAGGCTAAAAAACGATTAAATGAATTAATTCAATTTCACTTGGTTTGAGAAATCGCTTTCTTGTCATCAAGAAATTGTCCGCGTCTTTAGAAAAAGTACAAAAATTTCTTGCCGAAATTTTTTTTTTCATAGTGCAAGATATTTTGCTCTTGAAAATTTTCAAGCCACAAATTTCTCAATGTAAGTACAAATGTACTTCTCAAAAAACTTTGTTTTTCTCAGTGTACACTATTTGCCTGATCACTGAAAAACTTAAGTTTCGTAAAATGGAGAAACAGCCTTAATATTTCGTTATCAAACTAGATTTGAAGTAGATGTACTCACCCCCCATCCGAGTTTCTCAGCTAATAATTCGCATCCAGTATCGCAATCCCCAACCCAAGCAACGTCTCTTCTCACTTCTGAACTCTTCGGATCGAATACAAATCCTTGTCGAAGGCCGAATAATCTCGATAGTCTGTCTTGCAGGCCCACTTTCTCATGGTTGATGAGGAGTCTTGGACAGGTTGAGGGCACCCTTTAAAAATAACGAGCGAGCCAATTAATGAAGAAGTAAGAGAATAATTACGGGGTCGAAGAAATGGAAAACAATATTGAAAGTGAGTGAACAATTTGATTATAATAACTTGGAAAAATCAATACCTGTCGATCAATGAAGCAAATGGTTGCACAACTAGACTCGAGCCCATGATAATTAAAAGATCCGCTTTTGGAAAGTCGTGCTCTATCAATGTGTGGAATCTGTCTGGTAGCATTTCTCCAAAAAATACAATGTCTGGTTTCACCACCCCCTCCAAACACTCCTCACATTTTGGAATGAGTCCCTCATTTATTTTTTCTGTAATTGCCAACAATTTTATTATTAATTAATGAACTCATAAAACTTTTCCGTCCAATCGAATGAAGATGATTAATTGATTCTCAATTAATTTTTCCATTAAAATGATTCATTAAAAAACTATTTATAAATTTCATCGAAAAGAAAATTTCTCAATTATACACAGAGGAAAAAAATATGGACAAGTCTGGTTTGAACTAACAAAATGGCAAGTTGAAAATTACCAAGATGAAAATTGTTGTGTTAATCATTGTAGATAAGTTGTTGATTATTGTTTATTGCATTTATTTACTGGTTTTTTGGGTAAAAATTTCCAAGTAAAAATGGCAGAAAATTCGCCTTTGAAAATATATAAAAAAAAAAAAAGCCGTTCACTCAGAATTTCTGGAGATAGTCACTTCATTTTTTGGGTTTATTTCGATTTAGTCCCTTCGATGGAAATTGATGGAATTAAATAGATTCCTGAAATTTAAACCACGAATGAATTACCTTTCATCCAAGGGAGATCATAAGGCCGTCTGCACTTGAGGCACCTCCCTGTGTGGAACGTTCCATGAGCTTCAACCAATTTTTCCCCCGGAAGTCCAGCAACTCTCTCCAAGGTATCCACATTCTGTGTGTAATGCCTCAACAATAATCCTTTCTCCCACAGTAATCTCACGAAATAATGACTGGGAGTTGGTTTGAACCCCTCAGGAAGTAGCTCCTTCGCTAAGACGAAGAATGGCTCCGGATTCTCCGTGAAAAAATCGATCTGGAAGATCGCCTGAGGATGTGGCAGATTGTACTTTTCTAAATTGTGGTACAGGCCACTCGAGGGGGATCGAAAATCTGGAATTCCTGCAGCTAGAATTGAATACAATTGACGACGAGGTCAACGATAATAATAGTTGCATAAAGACAACATTAGTAAGGGGTCACTATTATGAATTTTAAATATTACGGATTATTGAAGTTAAATCCCCATATCGCGTGTCTAAAAGCAGAAGGCCGCATGTGCGAAAGATGGCCTTCTCCGGTAAAAGGTCGTATCTGCTAGCAGATAAAACCTTTTGCTTGTAGGGAACCCACCAAATTGTCCCAAGATAAAACGTCTCAAGTTTAGTTTGCCCTGAAGACACGTATGAAATAGCTATTTTCGTAACAAAGCCGAAAAAAAATTTTCTGACGAGTGTGAGGGTTGCAGACCGAGGCGAAGCCGAGAGATACAATCACACGAGTAAGAATAGTATATTTCGATATGAGTGTGAAGTTATGAAGGCCGCAAAAAACTTTTCTGACGCGTGTGAAGTTGGCGGCTCGAGGCGAAGGTGAGGGCTGCCAATCACATAAGCTGAAAATTTCCGTCTCACATGTGTCGAAAATAATTTGTGACAGTGATGTTACGTTCAGCGAGTGGCCGAACTGTGCGTTTTTCGTTTACAAACAAAGGAATAACGCATGAGTTTGCAAGTAAACAAAAAGGCACTTTTCGGCACGAGGTGAACGTAGCAGCAGTGTCAAAATAGTTATTTTCATCACAAGGCCCACAAAGTATTTTCTGACGAATGTGGCTTTGTAGGCCGAGCCGAAGGCGAGCGCGAGATGTGCTATAATCACATTCGGCAGAAAATACTTTTGGACCGTGTGATGAATGCAATTTTTGCGCAACAGGCCCGAGCGGACCGGACACACGCGATAGTCGCCATAACAGTATCCGCCCGGACGACCAAGAGTGAGGTGAGAATCGATATAGCTCCCTGAACGAGTTCCTTTCGAGGCAATTATCGAGGCCCCGTGACCAAAATTCCGTCGAATTCAACGCTCCAGACTATGGTAAGCACCCGTGTACTTATTTAGAGGTGATTAAAAGTGAATTAGTGCGGTTTTTCGGAACAGCGATTGGACCACGCGGGATGGCGTCGCTACCTCTCGGAATTACGCCAACACCGATACTCATGGTTTGAAGGGTAGAAAACCCTTCAAACGAACCCAAATGCTCCCTGGAAGCTACCTGAAATTATCTAAATGATAATTACGCTACCTGAATAAATCCAAATAGTAATAATGCTACCTACCGTAACTTTTGAGCTAAAATTCATGCTTTATGCGTCTCGCTACGGCGATTGATGCAACTCGCTACCTGCTTCATTGCTACCTTTTCTCGCTCTCTTTACGTAATTATTCTACGCTACCTATTTCTTTATATTTCTCAAACTCACACGAGTTTTGGGAGAAAAATTAGGCTACCTGAATTGCTCTTAAGCTACCTTTTACGCGTTTTAATGCTCTCTAGCGTTCGTTGAGTTTTGGATTCCGGTTGGGCATGGGGACGCTATCTTTTTAGTTATCTTTACTTTTATGGTTCGAATCCAGAACAATAAAATTATCTAAGCTCTCTTGCGTTAATGAATAAGCTACCTATTATCGTAGAAATCATTTGAGACCGTAAGCTACCTATTTTCAGGGAGAAAACCTCCATTTCCGGGTTAGAAATGCTCCCTTCTGGTAAATCAGCCACGTGGCTGATTCAAGCTCCCTAGCTCATTTTGCTACCTTTTCGGTGGATGAGATCCCCAAGTTTTAAAATTGTTCCTCAATTTTAGAATGTAAATCCCTAAAATTTAGTCCCTAAAATCCACTCATTTCAAGTAAGATAAGTTCTTAAATCAAGTACCGTTGGGTTGTTAAATTAAGAACCCAACGGATCAGCGTTCCTAAAATACGAATACGCAAAAGCGATAAAATTCCCAAATAATGGACTATTTATTCGTTATTAATTGAGTCCAGATATACTTTGGATAACAAACGATTTAAGAACATGAGTAAATTCATTGTAGCACAGGAAAAATAAATCAACTCAAAAACGAGAATGTCCATAATTTGAGAACCTAAAAGGGGAGAAAATGCGCATGAATTCCAGTACATACAATGATACTGGATATAAGTAAAAATTACTGAGAATTACAACTTTTTCTCTGATGTTGCGAAAAACATTTTTTTAGAAATTTCATCTATTTCTAGGATTTTTCGCGGTAAATTACATTGCAAAAAAGTTCTGAAATTCAAAAATTTTCGCTGGCAACTAGAAGCTTTTGTGAATCAATCAATTAAACATATTTTATTTAAAGTATTAGTTTAATTGATTCATTCATATCAATAAAACTATTACTTTAAGTAAAATGAAATTCAATTAAATTAATTTCTCATCTCCCTCCATCACAAAATCTATTCTCGCATATATCTGAAAGGTTTGTTCCGCCGGAATCCATCGAAGGACCATTTGTGTATGAAAACAACTCCCCCCGAACAACCCCTCCCACACTGCCCCCCCCCCCTCATCACCGAACCTCTCCAGAAAATCTCCAATCATCTAAAATTACTCTCCCATTAATTCTATTACCCAAACAACCCAGTTGCTAGCTAAAATTGTCTAGCGAACCTCGGATAAACAAGTCAATTTCTGGACGTGGATTAGTTTCTGGACGATTTCAACTTGCATTGAATATTCCATAAATAAAATGGAAATTGTACTAATTATTTCACCTTTCGATAATATTACTCGTGTTTAATCATGTGATCAATTATTTTTGCTATTGATCAACATTTAATGAATAAAAAAAAATATGGCCCAGTCGTCCTGAAATTAGGGGTTTCGGCTGCATTAAAATTGGAGAGGGTGGGGCAATATGGACACCTGGGGTAAAATGGACGCTCAAAAAAATTGTGAAAAAAAATTTTTTTTTCAAAATTCAAATTTTAGAAAATTGATTCATTGGGCAATAAGGACACTTGATAAATCCGTATAGGATGGACTAAGATGGACACTCAAAAAATTTTTAGTTGAAAAATTTGCAATAATCCAATTTTAAAAAATTGCTTCTTGGAAAAGTTCACAACCGAAAAATTATTCAAGAGTGGACACCCAAAAAAAGTTGGTCGTAACTTTCAATCAAGAAAGTTTTCAATAGACATTCTCTAACAGAATCATGTCGGTATCTTTTTATAGAGAGAAATTAGAGTTGGAAGAGATATTAACACATAAACTTCAACTCTATTAAATTTTACATTAAAATTTTAAATATAAAGTAGCATTAGATTTTCTGTTTTACTATTGAAGTAACTTTGAAATTATTGATTTTTTTTTAATGAACAATTGCACGCCCTACCCAACCAACCTTTTGTCCATTTGCGAAATTTGTAAGATGGCTACTTTTCTACTTACAACGAAAATCACCATACAACAATGGGGGAAGATAAATAAGCAAAGAAAAATTTGGTTTACCACCCCCCACGACATAATTCAAAAATCAGTTTTTTTCAATTTGAAAATCGCAGCCATGACTGTTAGTGTTCCAGAAGTAGAACAATATTATTGAAACATAAAACATTGAGGAAGAAATCGGCGTGTCCATTTTACCCCGTTTTTGCTTTACCTTACAACTTCTACGACGCAGTCTTATGACAATGTGTTTATTTTTATAACTTTCAAATGACGTCGGAACAGTAGATTTGATCCAATTCAACTCATTATTTAAATCTGGTGTCCATATTGCCCCACCCTCCCCGATTTCTTAATTTAATCATTCTTTGTTTTGTTAATTTTCACTTCAAATAATGCTTTTCTGCTGATTAAGGATGTTCGACACCCTTTTAGCCAAAATTGACGTTGTTTTCATTTTTCTGGCAAATTATCGATGGGAGTGACGTGAAAAAATATAACGATTTTGTGGGTTGTCATTCTTTAATGGCTCACGAAGTTGCGTAGTGGTGCGATAATTTTCATGCGTTTTTTCTACAGTTTTGTGATTCTTTTTAAAAGTTTAGAGAAAACGCAGGAAAATGTTCGCACCACCTTAAAATTTCGTCAGTCATTAAATAATGACAAAACGCAAAAACGTTATATTTTTTCACGTCAATTCCATCATAAGTTTGCCAGAAAAATTAAAAAAACGTGAATTTTGGCAGAAAGGGTGTAGAACATCCTTAAAGCATTCTTGAAGGTATAGAAGCCATCATATCCCCATTTAGGTGATTCTTTTATTGAAGATCCTACCACGAAACTCGAATTTCCCTCAACCGTCCAGCAATTGGCCTATTTACCCCACTCTATTTCCATTCAACTCACACGTGGAAATCCCCGCTCCAGCCATTACTATAATTTTCTTGCAGCCAGCCCCCTTGATGTACTCCACAATTCCATCGATCGTCAGCTCCTTCAACACCTTTTTCGTCTCCCTCTGGCCCTCGTCAGGGGCATCGTACAGCTTCAGCTTCTGGGTGAAGTACTTTCGTATCTTCTCCATCGAGGAATCATCATCATTATCATCAGCTGATGGACCCGGCCTCTCACTCCGTCGCCCCTCTAATGAATATTTATGAATATTTGATATTCTCCAACGTAAATAACGAAGGCATCTTACGATTCTGTTAAACCTAATCATGATGCGTTAAAAAGTGATTTAAAAATGGAGTGAAAGAATAATACAGCATTTGAAATCCCTTCGGAACCCATCAGATGATTTAAATGAACATAACCTAGAGATGATGACTCATATTTCTCCGAAAACAGACAGGAATTTCGAGCAAAATAAAACAAATCGTAGCACTGGAATTACCCTCTGGATTCTTCTCCTTTTCCTCAGATTTATCCATTATATCTGCGCCTCAGATCAACTTCCACCACTTTTCCATGAATTTCAAACACCGAGACGTCACTATCGTGTCATTGAACCTCCACATGTCATGATGTCACTGTTGTGAGAAATCAGGTTATCCAAGAATACTCTAAACATCAATTCCTCTGTTTTTCCATTATTTCCTTTTTTGACAGTCAAGGGTTAAATGTCTTCTGGCACTGCCAAAATTTAATCAAGCGAGAATGCCACTTATTGACAAAACGATAAACGGTGACAATGACTCGTCAAATTCAATTGTTCTGATTATGGGAGCGACGAAAAATACTCAAAATATTGGACCTATACTCGCAAAACTACAATATTAAGGTTTAATATCAGTTAATAATTAACATAAATTATTAAAAATAAAATATCAAATGTTGAATTATAATAATATTTATTATTTAGTACCATAGTATGAAATAGCATCACTGATAGTGTAAATAGATCATATGTAAGATTTAGCGCTTTAAATAAATTTAAAAAATCAAGGTTTCAAAGGAGCTAATAAATATCCTTGAGCGGTCGATAGTTATCGGCGTGTTTAATGGAAGGCGTAAACAATGATAATTTAGGATTCGAGGGGCAGAGTATGGCACAACTATCGTTCCGTTTTTTGCATTTTCCCAATAATCAACTTCAACGACACTTCAAAGTCACACTTCGAAGATTGGATCATCTCGGTAATAAGAGATTTTAGGAGGAAATCTGAGAACACATTTTCTGTGTCTATTGAAACAGTTGTTCAATATTTCCTTTTTTTACTTTTATAAGTCGTCCCTGTAATAGCTGAGCAAAATAAAGTTTTGAATAATGCTGAATTTCGATGTTTTTAAATTTTCCGCTCAAGTGAAGGGCAGCCTTGAGATTTTTCTTTTCAAATCACTCGGTATTGGTTAATTCAACATTTAGTGAAACGTAAGATTGAATAGGAAAATTGAAAAATTACAACTTTCAGTTCTTTTTAACTTCCCGACCCGAAGGGAGGAAGTTATTTTAATGACCCCGAAAATCGAATGTGGAAATTTAAGCATTTCTCCACGTTTCGTGACCTTTGGCACCACTTCTGACCCTTTTCAGGTACCTGTCTGTATGTGTGCATGTGTGTGCGTACGTCTGTGACAAAAATTTTGTGCCACGATTCCTCCTGAACAAACGATGCGATTTGACTTTTTTTTTTTAATCGCTGTATTTTCATGTGACTTGAACCTGATTAGATTATGGAGACGATCGTCTCAGCGTTTCTCCAGTTTTTTCCAAAAAACATTTGGAAAAAAGTCGAAAATTAGCGTTTTTTTGTAAACGAGACCATTTCTCCGTGCATAACGATGCGATTTCAAGTTTTTTTTGTTAGAAACGATGAATCTTGATATAACGCACAAATCATGGAATACTGGAAGACATTTAATCAGCAGTTCACTAGCTTTTTTCGAAATCGATATACATTCAAGAAACAATTTTACTTTTCTGATAAATTACATCTTTTCTCGATGCGGAATACGGCGATGTGTGTGCATGGGAGTGGGTGTGAGTGCGAGCACGCGCACGGATTTTCTTGTCTTCTATGGGTATTTCCTCGGAGAAATGTGAGAAAAGGATTGAATAAATACATAATAAAAAAGTTAAAAATTAATGAAAGAAAAAACAAATGGTCGGGAAGTTATTGGTGCGACCCGTAATGGGTCACATCCAATTCCACCAACCCCTACCGGTCATACCCTAAAGAGGAAGCGCGACCGGGCCTGATTTTTAACAATTTCGTGAATACGGAAAAGAGCGATGTGAGAAGAAAATGTCGTTCCTTGTAGATCGAGAATTTCTCAGGAAAAGTCCTTACACCTATGGATTGATAATATTCAGCAAGAGGTGGGATTAAATAATTGAGAAAATGGACAATTTTGCAGTGAAGAATTTTCATATATTTATATTTTCGGGGATTATTTATTGTTTTTTTTAAAGGAAATGTTCTCCTACATTCCCTCTGAAAAAAAGCATGTAACATTTTTTGTCACAGTTTTTCGTGGCATAGTTTAGCTTATCATATGAAGAACATAATTAAATAGTATATGAGAATATAAATTTTGATTTAAAAAATCACTCTTCATCGAAATGATGCAATATTGAGAACATGATGACATTCGATGATCCAAAAATTGAAAAAATTTGGATTTTCGTTGGAGATAATTCTTTCATATCCAGCACATTTTACGAGTTTCCGCAGGTGTTTGCCATGCACACGCGTCGTAGGTCACATCTACCCGCTCCCCTCCTCTTGGTTCAGCCCCCACTTCATCGAAAATGTGCCTAGTTCTGGGAGGCAAGCGTGCGGGGTATAAAAACCTGACTGGCATCATACCCAACACAAGTTTACTTCAACGCGCTCCTGCGATTCTTCAGTCTGTCTAGTGTTTTCTATCGTCAATTTTAATTACCAATAATTGTCGTATAGTGAAGAAGACACGTGAGGAAACAGAGGTTTTTCGAATTTGAATCGTCGTTCCGGAACTTTTTTTTTAATCGTTGAAGTGGTCCTCAGGATTTCAGAATGGAGGCCCATGAACCCAATTCTCCTTCTCGATGCACGTGGACACGGAATGGAGCTAATTCACCGCATATTAGACGTGACGTGTAAGTCCGATGACTGCGATTATTCGCTTTTGATTACGGATTTTTTCAAGTGTGGGAGTAGCGGAAGGGGGGGGCGATAATTTGATTAATGAGCGAGTGGTAATTGGGGTGGAAGGTATCTCGACATCGATAAGTCGTCTGTTTTTTTTTTTTATTGTTGGAAAAACGTGTTTGAAGATGATTGTTGATTGATAATTTAGAGTTGAGTGATGCAACAAATTATAATAGGGGAAATCTGTTTTTAAAATCTTTCATCATTTTTAAAAGGAATTACGCTGCTCCAAAAGTTGGAATTAGTGATATCTTCAGTTTTTGTTTGCCAATATTGATTATTAAATTTAAAAATTTCACACGATTTCCCAGAAAATTTTTGCCAGTGATCTAAAGTTTAACAGAACATCGGCAATTTGTCGACATAGTGTTTGCTGGGTTATAGGATGTTTGTAGGGTCTCACGTATAAAAAATTTTAAAAATATTATATATATTATATTATACATATATTATACATATATTATATTATAAAATTTGAAAATATTGCATACAAAAATTCAACAGAATTTTCTCGGCTCAAATTTTAAAAGTTTTTTTGTTTGATTTTCTTGATGAAAAGAAAAGAGAAATAAAATGAAAAAAACTTGGAAAATTGGAGCCAAGGAAATTCTACAGAAAATATCTCAACAGAATAAGTTGTACAGAAAGATCGAATTCTATTGGCTTTTTCTGTAGAATATTTTCTATTGAACATTTCAATAGAATCGGCCAAATGCTCAAATATTCAATAAAATTGTCTAGCGGATTCGCTAAGTTCTTTTAATAATTTTTTTCGTGCGAGCTTTTGTACTCGTTGGTGTCCAATTCATGTCTGATCTGTACGTACCCAAACGGCCTCTTAAATAATACATTGCTTATGTTTCGTCACTTGGCCAGCACAATCCAGTTACGCTGGCAAACGTAACGCTGACAATGCTCTATTTCCACATATTCAACAATAACGCAATTAGCAAATCTGGGGCATAATATAAAATAGATTTCCTCATAACGCTACCGACTATTGAAATGATATTAATAAACTGGAAGAGAGCACCGGTTGAAAATTCCATTCGTTACAATGAAGGAATTATTCTGAGACTCAGTAATTTTAACCGTAGGTTGGTCACCCTATGAGGGAAACCCCGCCGTGCGCCGTTTTTCTTTAATTATAATTGACGGGCTAATCGGAAAAATTCAAAAAAATTTGCCTTTGCCGATTGAAATGTCTAAATAGTATATTTCAGCACGTGTGGGGCAATTTCGTCTTTAACGTGTGTGGGGTTTACAGCATGAGCCGAAGGCGAGTGATGTAACCACACACGTTAAGGACGAAATTTCCCAACAAGTACTGAACAAAATTTTATGTCACGAAGCCTGAAACCGGCTGAATTAGACACGAGACGCGAAGCGTCGAGTGTGTAATCCAGCCGGTTTCAGGCATGAGTGGCATAAAAATTATAGTAGTTTTTAGAACAACATATTTTCCAAAATTTCTAAAGAAAAATTATTTTGGACAAATGAATTCTCTTTCCCATATTAAATTAAATTGCCCATGACGCGACGTTGGCGGAAACTCGCTAAACGCGCCCGGGTAGTGTGGAGTGAATTCGGAAACACTACAGCCTAAATAACACGGCAACGAAAAATCCAAAATAATACCCCGCGGAGGTGACAAGACTAGGGTTAACACTCCGTTGGTCGCGCTATAAACGCCGCGCTTTTTCCAATTTTTTAAATTACACTGTAGTAAAGCTTCAGAAAAATTTGAAAAAAATTGACATTTTATTTTGAAGTGTCTGGAAGCCCCATCAATGAAAATATTCGCTGAAAATATCATAAGTAGTTAGATTTGCAAATTTTTATTCCGAAGCTCTGGGCTGTAAATTCTATTGATAAATTCTACTTATTTTTTGTGCTGCCTATTTGTTAGGAAAAAGTCAATATATTTCGAATTTCTGTTCGAATTTTTCTCTTAGATTTTTCTTCTTTCTTTTCTTTCTCAGATTTTTTTGGGCACAGATTTTCTAATTTTTTTCCGCTGGATTTTGTTTTGTTTTGCATTACAGAATTCTAGTGGAAAATACTTAGAAAATTGATGTCCAAGCATTCTTATAGAAAAAAATCTCAAGAGAAAAATTCAAACAAAAATTCGATATCTATTGACTTTTTCTTATTGAATATCCAATAGAATCAGCGCACAAAAAAATATAATTTTTCAATAGGATTCCAATAGAATTTTCACGCGAATTCACTAAGTTTTCTATTGAATTTTTTCATATGGGTGACCACGTCATTGCTACCCAACTTCCAAAAGCTAAGCCTGCCCACCAAGACAAATATGAGTTTCGCTCATGTAATATTCTGTGTTTCACGGACTAAATGATGAAAATTATGTAATTCTTAATCAATTCCGACCAGCTAATATACGATGATAATATTCCAAATAAGCAATTTACACTTGAGAAATTCCATTTTGCTCACGTTTCGAGTGCTCTGTGCACTTTAACACAGTTTATTCTATGCTATTTAACACAAGAAAGAAGCGAACAAATCATATACAAAAACCTCCGAAAACTAGATCCAGAGATTGCAAAAAAAAACTAAAATTTACTTAATCACCTTTTCATAATTTATTCTCATAAATTAATTGTTTTCAGCTTGAACGATAGAAAGAAGGTTTTACCCGACATTTTAGAAGTCATCGGGCAGACACCAATGGTGAGGCTAAACAAGGTGCCAAAGTTGCATGGAGTAAAATGCGAAGTTTGTGAGTATTTAATAGCAAAGTTTTCCAATGATTCGCCAGAAAAACGGCAGTTTTACGGGTTTAAAGTCACAAGACTTGTTAGTAGACGACGAAATTCTCCCTGAAAAGCCTGCCAATGATTCCTCGTATCAACACCCATCGACGGTACCTCAATAATTCGTAATTGAGATTAGTTATCGAGTTAAATTGTTTGCCAGTCCTCCATTGAATTACAAATGATTCGATGATTGAATTTTTGAATTCTCCAATAAAATTGTGTGCTATCAGTCATCACAGAAATTAATTGCATGAATAATTAATTTTACTGCAAGATGACGCAACTCGCAGATATCGTTACTCATCGTTCCTTGATATCTTCAGAGTGAAGGTACTTACGGTGAATTATCAGAAGAAGAAGTAGACACGAAAGATTGAATAAATCAATAGACCTGTCAATCATAAATCGAATGAATTGATTTTAAAAAAGATGTGTGTATCTTTGGAATGAAGATATTCACAAGCAATTGTCAGTAAACATTTTATATCTAGAATTTCAAACGCTGTAAGGAATATCCTCCAACAATTTTACGTAAATCTCTGCACTCTAAAGCTATTTATTAAATCAAGATATAGAAGAAAAATGGAGGAAAAACTCGACGACATGAATAGATGACTCAATTGCCAACAGAATTGATTAGTTTCAAAAGGATCACTTGTGGTGCAGATTTTTAAATATCTTCGCAGTCAAGATAGTGACAATAAATTTCTAAAAGTGCTTTAGGCAATTTTTCATAAACTCCTTCACGCCTAAGTTATTTACAAAATTGGTGGATGAAAAAATTTCTATTACTAGAATAGGGCGCGCACGACTTTGCCGTTTCTCATTTTCATTAATTTTTATCTCAATAACAATGCAGGAAAAATGAATAGTTTCAACGAAGTTTTTCACAATGAGAATTTTTTCCAGTTGAAAAAAATTACAGTATAAAACATATATGAGGTATTCCATACCAAATGAGTCAACGGCTGACCCTCACCCGCTTGAAAATTGATGGCGATTTTTTCTACGATTGGGGGGCTTGAAAAACTATCTCTCAAATTTTTAAAGATTTTTTTGTCAGCGAAATTCGGAGATATTTTTTTTCAAATTGTTCGTTTCTTTTACAATAACTCGAGTTCTACTGATTATAAACAGTATAAAGTAAATTTAAATATATACCTATATGTTACATATTTTTTCGATACATAATTAAAATCGTTTTAAGGTGTTTTCACCAAATTTTCGCAATTTTAGAAAAAATTAAAAAAAAATAGATTCTGGGTGGAACGCAACATGTATGACGGTTCAAAATTTTCGTTTTCATTATAAGAATTACTGAAAAAAAATTAAAATAATCGACCGTGACGTAATTGCCAAAATTCAAGTTTTTCAACTTTTTTTTCGAAAATTCATTATTTCGAGCATCTAAAAATTGGAAAAAATTTAAAAAAAAATTTAAAAAATGGAAAATTTTGCCCTCTAATAAATCGAAATCGGATGAGTTGAACTCGAGGTATTGTAAAAAAACGGAACAATTTGAAAAAAATCATATTTCCGAACTGGGCTGTCAAAAAAATCTGAAAAAATTTGAGAGATAGTTTTTCAAGCCCCCTAATCGTACAAAAAATCGCCATCAATTTTCAAGACGGTGAGGGTTAGCAGTTGACTCATTTGGCATGGATTACCTCATATACTATCTTATACAAATATTTTTTCAATTCTATTACAGTAAGAAATGAATTTCTCTTTTTTTACAATTACTGTAAACAAAAAATTACAGTAGGGTACATCACTTGATAAGCAGAATGGAGGCTTCAAAAATTGTTACACTGGATTTTTTAAAAGTGGATTAATTTTGTCATCCATTAAACTGGGAACATCTTGGGAGTCAAGGCATTTACAATAAATATCCAAAAGTCCTTTCTTGTAAACAACTGCAAGGGCTCCAAAAAAGATTTTGAGATAGCTTCCATAAAACCTATTCCTCCGGAGATATTAAAAAATTAGATATGAAAAGTGAAAAGAATCAGTTGATTCAATGAGATTATTTCCTCTCCCAGTTGCAAAATGTGAATTCCTCAACCCTGGAGGTTCTGTGAAGGATCGAATTGGTTATCGAATGGTCCAGGATGCCGAGGCACAAGGGATCCTCAAGCCAGGCTCCACCATCATCGAGCCCACCAGTGGTAACACTGGAATTGGTCTGGCCATGGCTGCAGCGGTCAAGGGGTACAGATGCATAATCGTGATGCCCCAGAAAATGTCCAACGAAAAACTTTATACTCTTCAAGTCTTGGGTGCTGAGATCGTTCGCACACCGACTGAAGCTGCTTGGAACAGCCCTGAAGGCCACATCAATGTTGCTGAAAAACTCAGGAAGGAAATTCCCAACAGTGTAATTTTAAATCAGGTAATTATCGATACTTTTATCGTTTCTTTATAGTATCAATAATTAATTCGTTCATATGATTATCCTATCGTTAGTAATTGCTTTAGGAATGCATTGAGTCATTATTTTTTATCGATTAAGGGGTATTTCACGCTATTTCAACGGGGGCAAGAAAATATTATATTTCGTTACGAGTGCGGAAAAGAGTTTTTTGGCTCGTGGGAGGTTTATAGCACGAGCCGAAGGCAAGTGATATAATTCAGAAGGGCTTTATCGTTGAGAAAGGATGGTTAGTTATGTAAAAAAAGAATTGATCGAAAAAAGTAGATATTATTGGTATTTTTCAAATAAACAATTAGAAAAATGGTTTCGTGAGTTCCATTCTGACAAATATGAAAAAATATATCTTGTGGAAAATATTATTAAGAACGCTGTGTTAAATTTTTGTTTAATGAAATCATGTGACGTCTCCGCCGCTGAATTCATTCAAGTGTATGTAAATAAAATTTTTCTGTTACCATTTTATCGAAGGGCTGAGGGGAGAGATAGAACTGTAAAAAGACAATCGGTGGTGCAGAAGAAAAGGGATAATAAGAATAATGATGCTGATAACATTCAACTAAGTTGAAAATGTGACAAAATTACGTAAAAGGAAATCTTATTCAATTTAATAAAATGAAATAAACAATAACTTGTATAGGATAGAAGGAAATGATGTGCAAAATAACCATTCGGAAGCATATTGCTAATTTATGAACAAAAATAACTAAACTATACAATACAAGAGCAATTTCCCACTTGTTTAGAAATAGCTTCGAATCAGGTAGTGTCGAAAATTTTTATTTAGCCCTTTTTGCGGGTCTGAGTGAGAGCTGTAGCAAAGATAGTCTGGAAAGTTTCTCCATCTCCTTTATCGCTAAAAATACATTGTTTATGACAGTACATCAACCCCGGAAATCCTCTGGCTCACTACGACCAAACGGCCACTGAGATTTGGGAACAACTAGAAGGAAAAATAGACTACATAGTGGCTGGAGCTGGCACTGGTGGTACCATAAGTGGAATTGGTCGCAAAATCAAAGAGTTATCACCAAAAACTGAAATAGTTGGAATTGATCCTTTTGGATCTATTCTCGCTCGACCAGAGAACTTGAACGACACGAAAATAACGTATTACGATGTAGAAGGAATTGGGTAAATAACATGCTCCCATTTAATATTGTAAGACAAAACTTTTGATACATTTCAATTTATCGCATTATTTCATCACTAGCTGAAGGGCCTGATGTTTCAGAACGAACTGCTTAATTTATTCTAGAAGAAAAATTCCTGAAATTTAGTATCAGTATCAAGAACCTACTCATGTAAGGTGGGAATTCTGAAATCAAGAACCGGTGGGTTTTTTAATTAAGGCCCATTTGGTCTGCAAATTAAAAACTATCGAAAAGGATAAAATTCTGGAATGATTGAATGTTATTTCATTCTTAATTGAGTCAAGGTATCAGATACTCCCAAGGAAAAAGGATTTATAAACATGAATAGATTAATTTCAGAACAGGAAAAATTATCAGTGCAAGAGTTAGAATAGTATTGAATTGAGAACTCGGATGTCCTTGATTTAAAAACCCCAAAGTTCTCATGTTGACATTTCGAGAATTAAGATTCCATTAAAATAAGAAAAAATGCACTTTAATTTCAGGATAATTAAACATATTACGTAGAGTTCAGCAAAGATGTGTGAGAATTAGAACTCTTTCCTCCAATCTTTAGGGAAAATTTCTGGAAATAAGTGAAAGTTATTGCATTACACTTATTTCCAGAATTTTTTGCTCGCTAGATTTCAATACAATAGAGTTTTGCAATTTAGAGATTTCTACTGGGAATTAGAAATTTTTTCTCCGTGGAGATTCTTCGCTTGGTTTTTAGAGAATAGTCTATAATTTGTATAAAAACTCTAGAAATCTTGAGAACGTTTTGAAAATTTTCTAGAAAAACGTAGAAATTTTCTTGAATTTATTAGAAAAACTGTAAATTTTCTGTAAAAACCTAATATTTTAGACAAACCGATAATTTTCCTAAATTTTCTAGAACAATCTATAATTTTCTAAATTTTTCAGGAATGCAAAAAGAGACCTTGAATTTTTCCGGAAAACTTGAAATTTTCTAGAATATCGCACAGAATCCCCAATTCCTTACATTTTTTCTTAACATTCTATTATTTTGTCAGAAATCCTGGGGGGAGTTTGAGAAATCTCAATAAAATTTCGAAAATTCTATGGTGTATCCTGTTGGATGCAACACAGGGCAATGATTTATAGTCTAACTCTTTACAGTCCCTAATTTAGTTAATAGTAAAAATCTCATCGAAATACCTCCCATGAGATTAAAAAAAATTCTACAGACTTATTATATGTAAGCTTGTTGATAGGTATGACTTCATTCCAACTGTCTTGGATCACACAGTCATCGATCACTGGATGAAGAGCAATGATCATGAGGCATTCAACATGTCTCGTCAGCTGATCAAGGAAGAGGGGCTTTTGTGCGGTGGAAGCAGTGGTGCTGCTTGTATTTCCGCCCTCAAATTCGCAAAAGATCTGCCAGCTGATAAACGTGTTGTTGTTGTTCTCCCTGATGGCATCCGAAATTACATGACCAAGTTGGTTTCCAATCATTGGATGGAGGGGAGAGGATTCATGGTAAATTCAAAATTTCCATATATATATTTTTTAGGGAAAGATGGGATACAGGGGAACTTTTTTCATGACTTTATAATCCTAATATCTCTGTTTGTAGAAAAAAAAAGATATTAAGCACCTGGGGCGTGCTACGCTATTTCTACGCTACGCGGAAAAAAAAATTTACCTCGGTATTTTTTAAATCAAACCCGTCATTAGCGAAATAAATAATTAACTTATTGTTATTTATATTCGATATTTAATATTTAATTAAATAATTCAATAATTTTCAAATTTTGAAAATTACTTGCAGGAGAATGATGTTTCCTCTCGTATTTGATGAAGTGTAGAACGATATTTTAAATCTTCATTTGAATAATAATCAATTTGAGGCAAAACAAGATCGTAAATTCACCGGAGTATCTTTCTCTGAATGAATGAGTTTTAAAGATTGGGGGAGTGGGTTTATTGTGAAAGCACAGTTTCCCTATATTTTTCGCTGATTTTTTCAACGCGGAGGAAAAAACCACAGGCATTATCGGTCGTCGACATTACAAAACCAGAACATAATGAGTCACAGAAAAAATAAACTCATAAATTGAAGTTCAATGTTTGAAACTAAATTCATTCATTCAATTAACAATGTAATAAACGTGACAAATGATTAATTTGGGGTAGATATTGACAAAAATATACATTTTCGATTGTCAAACTGAATTTATAATTTAATTATGACTCTTGACGTTTAAATAATTTTCATAATGAATTGAAAAAGATATTTTATAAGGTAGGAAATTAATTATTCATTAATTTTTTATGAAGAAGACTCGCAATTTTCAATATCAGTAAATTTTTAATTATTCCCTGAATCGCCGTAATTTTCAATGATTTCTGGAATCATTAGCAACGATTATAAATCCAAAATCAAGTCCAGACTTCGACACTTGTTAATAAAACAAGAGTATTTCATTTTCATTTTTAAAACGAAGGCATCTCGGAGTTTCTGAATAAACAGAGGTATCTCAGAATTCCCTATACAACTAATCTATCTGAATTTTCCGCGGAAAACTCGTCTAACTCAAACGAAATCATAAAAATACTATTTTGTGAACGCTGATTAAATAGTATTTAGGCGATTTAGTCGACATATTGTGAATTCATAATATGTTGAGATTCATGCCAGAGAATTAATAAAATGAATGGGCGGAACGAGTGGAGTGATCGCATCAAGGATTCAACCGGAGAATTCAGTGGGTAGATCATCAATCCAGAATTCATCAATAAGAAAATTAAAATCATCTGAAACGAGTGTAGTGGAGTTTTACAACGGATATACATGAAATTCTATGATTTGGAATCAAAATACGGATACAGGGAAAAGGACTTGAGAGAGTGAGAGTAACCACGACTTATGTGCATAACTACGCCTCGTAGAATCAGAATAATTCGAAGGTATCGAAGGTATCTGTTTTGACATCTTCATCGGCACGGGCCACATGGAATTAATTCTCAAACACTTACGTTTTCATGCTTTTGACAGCTGCATGGATTTGAGTTGTATGAGAGTATCATAAAATTTGAGGAATGACAATAAAATAAAAGAATTGCTGAATTATCTGGGAATTATACATATTAAAATGAGTACCACCTGCATAGTATTTAATCAGAGTTATTGAGATAAGTCTTATTTTATTTCGTTTAAGGTACATGATTTTTTCCCGGAAAATTGAGATAGATGAGTTTTATACGGAATTCTGAGATATCTTTGTTTACTCGGAAATTCTGAGATACCCTTTTAAAAATAAAAATGAAATACTCTTGTTTTATTAGGAAGTGTAGATTTCAGGAAACTCCAAGTACAAAATAAAATATTTGCGAAATATTAATAAAGGAATTTACTAAATGTTCAACTATAAATACTGAAAAAGATTCCAATGAAAAGAAAAGTATTTAAGTAGTTAAATATTCTTCAAATCATCCTAATCATTCATTCTCACATATTATTAGATTAGATGAAAAAAAATCTCTTCAACGAATGTTTCAGCCACCCCCAGAACCAGTTGAAGACAACAAATGGTGGTGGACCCAGCCAGTATCCTCCCTCCCCCTCTCAAAGCCCTCACCTTTGGAGGAAGGCACGACCTGCCAAGACGCCCTCCAGATTTTTAAGACCCAGGGAACTGATTACATTCCAATAACCAACGATAATGAACAGATAAAAGGCTTTCTAACTTCGAATACTCTAATGACTGGATTGATCAGTGGCTCTGCAAAGAAAACCGACCCTGCCGACAAACTCATCTGCTACTTCTTCACGAAACTTAATGTGAACGCGACCCTTGGACGAGTTTCTCGTGTTCTCGAGAAAGAACCCTTCGTGCCGATTATTGACGTGAGCCAGAATTCTAAGTTGATTGCAATCGTCACCCAGAAGATGCTCTTAGAATATATTTCGAAAAGCAAAGAACCTCAGACTAATGGAACTAATGGAACTATTTAAATTCCTGCTGATAATTTTAATAGGAAATTTCTGAAGGGAGAACCATCCAAATTTGCTTTTGTTTAAACACTATTGTGAAAATTTCGACTGGAATTTCCTTGGGAATTTATATCAAGTGGCAGTTTCACTGAAATTTCAAAGGAATTTCTGCATTGAAAATTCATAATTTGATGAAAAAATTGATGGGAACTATATTTTTCAGTTGAATCATTCCATTGGAATTAAGAGGCATCAGGAAAATTCAAGTAAATATACTCTTGAATTGTCAATTAATTTTAAATTTAGCGGATTTTGAGGCTGAATATTCATGTTTCGATTGAAAATTCACTCAAGTTGTTAACAGTGGATTTAGAGGAAAATATGAATATGGTTTTTTTGAAGCTTATGAAATTTTGTACAAGAGATATTTTGTGATATTTTTTAATAAGCATTTAATTTGTTCGAGACATATTTGAGTATTTACTTTGTTAAGTGGCCAAAGGAGAGAATCAAACGAAAGTTAAGTTCAAATTTTCTCGGATTTTTTTTGACGTTTCTTGATAAGGCTACTGATTTCATATGAATTTTTGGATTTCATTTTTGAAGCGGTGAAAGAAGAAAATTGAAAAGATCATATTATTTTGGATGGATTTTATCAAGAAAAGTGGTTGAGAGGGAAATGTTGAGAAACATTTTTCGTACATCATGAAATTTTCGAAATATATCTCTCAACATATTTCGAATTTCGGAGATATTTGCTGCATAGGGTGTACGAAAAATTCGACTTTGTCTCCCTTTACATTTGCTATACATGTCAATTTCAATTTGTTAAAATTTTTTATACTTCGATTTATACCACAGACTCTGCATTTTTCTACGTCCTTTACTCCGTCTTTTCATATTGTACTTTTGTTTTCTAATGAAATTCATGTAGTAAAGAGATTTTGCATTAAAAGAATCTTATTGTCCTTAAATCTATTGTACATCGTAATACTATAACATGATATTAAATTACAACTCTGAATAATTTACAGTTGTGTGCTCAGTTATCTTCAATCATAAAACAATCCTCAATTCCCTTAATTTAGCAAAAAAATTGTGAAATGAAGTAATCCAACTCGTCTTCACAAAAAATAAGTTTCTGATGAATATCTCAGGATCTGAGAGAGTTAAACAAAATTTCTGCTCTCACAAGAATTGTGGTACTTGTATTTGATTCTGAAATAATCTTCAAAAACAGATTTCGAATGAAATTCACTCATTTCGTACTAGAGTAAACAAGTTAATTTCTGAACGATTTCAACTTGCATTGAATATTTCATAAATGAAATGAAAATTGTACTAATTATTTCCCCTTTCAATAATATTACTCGTGTATAATCATGTCATCAATTATTTTTTCTATTGACCAACATAAAAAATTTAAAAAAAATGGCCCAGTCGTTCAGAAATTAGGGGTTTCGGTTGCGTTCAACCATTTCTTAATTTAATTACTCTTTGTTTTGTTATTTTCACTTCAAACAATTTTTTTCTGCTAATGCGAACATTCTTGAAGGTATGAAAGCCATTATATGCCCATTTAGGTGATTCTGTTATTTCACATGCTACCAAAAAACTCGAATTTTGCTTAACCGTAGCAATTGGCCTGTTCACCCTGTTTATATACTAAATTAAACCCTCTGGACCTCAATATGAAACTTGCAACTAGGTAAGGAAGATATCTCTGCTTTAACAACACTAACAATTCCCAGATTAGCCAGACTCCCTCTCAAAAGTCCACAGGTGAAAGCCAACAGCTTCGGACACTCACGTAAATACTGTTTACTGTCTTTGGCACCAATGTGCACTAATAAACGAAACGCATTGTCCTGCAGCATGTATGTCCCGTGATGATTAGTCTTCAAGTTGTCGATTTGTTTTTGGTAGAGACTCGACCAGAAATCAGTACAGATAAACTTAATCATATCCAGCTCGTCTTTGAATCGAGTCCATTCTCTGGTTAATCGTTCTATCACTCGATATCCAACACCGAAACCCATCCACTCTAGCTTCGATAAATCTTCTTCACCTTCCTGTGAATTGGCAAATGCATTTTTTTCGTCAGAACCTTTTAGTTTTGAGAAATCAGAAGTCAAGGGGTGCACGGCTGGTAACAATAGTGGTATTATCAGATTTTTTTGTGAATATTTTTGAAGGATGAAGGTTTGAACAAAATTAATGATGTTTATACAAAATCCTGAGCACTCAAACGATTTTAATTTGTCCTTATTTGATGGACGCTAAAAGTTATCTTTTTCATGGTGATGAAATAAACTAGACAATATGCACTGAATGTAGGGGTTAACGTGAGGCTATATACACGGCGAGAAAAACGAATAAGTTCTCAAACAAAACGTGTTTGCGCCAACAAAATCGTTAGTTGAAAATTACCATATATATGACTAAATTCCAATTTTACAATCATTATTGGGATCTGTATGCAATTTTTCTAAGTTCCTCAACAGTTCTCTCACAGCGTGGAATTTACTGTCAACTGACTGTCAACTGCTACTAAATAAAATTTCATATGTATTGAGAAAATTTGAAGGATAAAATAATTGGAAAATTCCTGCTAATCTGAGAAAAAAATTGCTCAAAAGCACTTCAATTTTGAATGAACGAGTCGATCCCTCCTATCTTATTAAATACCGGAATCATTGATGTTAGGAAGAAATGTCAAAAAACCTTTTGTTAACGAATTCTCATTAACAAAAAAATGCGGTATGAAATTGTTTCCTAATAATTAACAAGAATCTCATCTTTTAATAATTACATTTCACCACTTCATTGCAGACAAAAATAATCTACATAGAAAATTACTCACCTTAGAATTTGTACTCGTACTCATAACATAGTTGACAATCTCTGCATGTAAATACTCGAACAAACACTCGTCAGCCTCTCCAGAGCCCCCGGAATTCGGTTTTGATTCCCCTAACTGCGGCTTCATGATAAGCTTCAAAGGATTCTTCGTTTTATCCAGTTTGATATTTATTGAAAAATCTACAAATACCACACGAATAATCAGTAGCAAATGTTTATCAGCTGTTCAACACGTTTCTGTCACCCACATTTTTGACGTTGGCCAATTCTAGGGAATTTCCTAGTGACTTAGTTAACTTTTTGGTAACCAAATGAATGACCATTTGAACAGGTCAAAAGTTATCCTGTATCCGTTTTTGGATATCAGAACGTATACCTAAAGATGTCGTTGTGCTACTTGGGATCTGGCAACCCTGCGCAAAAGCTGGGTTTGATTACTAAAAGAGCTGTGGACAGTATCTCTATTGGAGGGCGGACATCTCTCGTCTCGTAGACTGAAAAATTCACGTTTTTGGAAGTTGACGATCGTTATTAGAACATTTAAACAATGGTAAATTCGTCAACAATCATTAACAATTAATATTAGACATTCAAATAAACTCTCTTTTATGCGTTTTATTTTAAGATTAAAGGGAAAAAACTAATTGGAGTAGTGAAGTGTGACTTTTGGAGCAGTTGATAAGGTTTTGACAGCCTTTAATGTCAATCAGTTTTGCTAGCATCACTTGATTAATTGATGTATTGGAAATTGTGGAAGAGTCGAATTCGGTGATATTCGATGAGATTTCAGTGGATTCATTGAGTGCAAGTAGCTGTGTTTGGAGAAATAGTAATGGTTATTTGATTTTATTTGCAGATTCGATTCATTTTGATCCAAAACAGAGCTGGCAAGACCAGATTAGCAAAGTGGTATATGAATTTCGATGATGACGAGAAGCAGAAATTAATTGAGGAAGTGCATGCAGTGGTTACAGTACGAGATGCTAAACACACGAATTTCGTTGAGGTTAGTTGGCCTATTTTGTTCGTCAATTCTCTCGTTCGTCGGATGTGCTTCGACACATCCAGAGAAGTGGTTGATTTTACTTGAATAGACTTTATTTGAATCAAATAGCTGAATTTAGGTGCATAGTTCGTAATCAAGTTTTTATTCAAACGTACGGGGTGAGAAAAGTTCAATGAAACATTTTCAATCATAGATTACTTGGGAATGGCAAAGATAAATGCATAATTAATGAGGAATTATCAATTTTGTATAGGCAATTCTAACTCATCCATCAGGAACAGTTGTATTGAAATATTCGTTAATCCACTCATCTATTTACGCACTTAATTGATTGTTTGATCTTTGGGTTCAATTTCAGTTCCGTAACTTCAAAATTGTGTACAGAAGGTACGCAGGATTGTACTTCTGCATCTGCGTTGATGTAAACGACAATAATTTGTGTTACTTGGAGGCTATTCATAATTTCGTTGAAGTACTTAATGAGTACTTCCATAACGTTTGTGAGCTGGATCTAGTCTTCAATTTTTACAAGGTGAGATTAACAATACTTCTCGAATTTTCATCATAAAAACTTTTTCATTAAGTTTTCCAACGAAACAACGGAACAGGATGAATTGAAAAATTTCATACGGATTATTTTGCAAATATCTCTAAAATTTGAACATTCCGAAAAAAATCCAGGAACGTTCTGAAGAAATATTCACTAATCAACTATTTGGCGCAAACAATATTTATTTAAAAAATGTTGTTCCTCTCGGTGTAAAACAACTTCTCCTGATCTTTTTCTCTAAACCTTTTGCCTTTGCAAATATTGACGACATTTAGTTGAAAATGATCATCAATGTTTACCATGTCTCTGATACTATTAGTAGGAAAAAACACCACTTTTTTTAGCAAACATTGAAAAATGTAACTTTTCTAGGACGTACGTTTAATTTGTTAAATTCCAGGTCTATTAATTAAGATTTTTTCACCAATTTCATTTTGAAAATATCTCTACAATTATTGTTTCGGAAAAAAAGTCGAAAAATATTCCTTATAGCCCATAAAATTCTCTTCTACAAATTTCTCCTGATATGTCTTTCTGAGTTCTTCTCTGTGACCATATTTGCAAAATTATCTACCCTCATCTTGGCGTAATGCATTGCCTTCCGCTGAGTCGATAATTTACATTGTTTCATGACTTTATTGTGTTCCAGGTGTATACAGTAGTAGACGAGATGTTCCTAGCCGGCGAGATAAGGGAAACCAGCCAGACCAAAGTCCTCAAGCAACTCCTCATGTTAAACTCCTTAGAGTAATGGCCAAAGATCCCATTAAATTGTATCATTCCAATCCCCGTTGTTCTCATCCCCCACTCATACTCAAATCCATTAAGAATCTCGTTCAGCATAAGCTAATTTGTTTTGATGTCATGTTTTTGATTTCTTCAAAGTTGAAGTTTCGATCAAATGTGCTTTGAGTATTTATTTAGTTTAAGATGAATAAAAGTTATGAAGTGTAAATTTTCAATTGGAAATCAATTTTTTGCGAAATTTCATTATTGCTTATTTATATTTTTTCATCACGCTGTGACGAAAAGTGAACTAGTTATTTTGAAATAGTTATTTTCATCACAAGGTCCACAAAGTATTTTCTGACGAATGTGGCTTTGTAGGCCGAGCCGAAGGCGTGACCGCGATCAAACCAAGCGAAGCGAGGTTAGAATCGCGGTTTACCGGGTCTTCTCACGAAAAATATTGTTCGTAACTCGTGAAAAAATGTTTTTTAGCTCGTGGGATTATATCACTCGCTTTCGGCTCGTGATATAAACCTCCTACTCGCCAAAAAACACTTTTTTGCACTCGTTACGAAATATACTAATATATCCGTTTATATATCCGCTTGCGACGAATATATATATATATATATATACATTATTTGTTTGAGTACATCGAAAGACCTAATGGTCACTTTGGTGACATCGGTCACCGAAATGACCATTTTGACACATGTGCATATCAATAAACAACTGAAAAAACAAACAGAAAATATGAAAGAATTGGCCAATCGATTTTTCCACCGGAATATTCGGATTAAAATAACAATCTTATTCATAATTAGCAATTGCGATATGAGACGTAAATTAGCAGATGATATGTTTTTTATCTTGTATAGGGTGTAGGAAGTGGAAAAACGCAATTCTGAGCCGTCGAGATTGCTATAAGGAACCCAAACTCGGCTTTAAGGCTGTATCTCTCATAGTTTGCGAGATAATCGCGAAAAACGAAATCGCCATAAGATGTGTATAAGAGACAGGTTTTTTATCTTGTATAGGGTGTAGGAAGTGGAAAAACGCAATTCTGAGCCGTCGATATTGCTATAAGGAACCCAAACTCGGCTTTAAGGCTGTATCTCTCATAGTTTGCGAGATAATCGCGAAAAACGAAATCGCCATAAAAAAAAATTTAATT